TTTATTATTTTATTTGTAGGCCTTTTTAATTTAGCTTGGCCATAGTCAACCAGTTTAAGGCAATATATGTGAGCATTTATGGAACAGAACGATTTGAAAACTCTGGTTAAAGAACTCCACCTAATGGAAATATTGTCAAACGAATTTCTACTGTATATTGTTAAAAATCAAGCTCATACCAGTTCCGTCCAATTTGTTTTCTATATTCTTATTAACTGTTATTATAAACAAAATAGCCCACTTGTTGATAATAATTGCATAAACGTAAAACTACTTAACCCTGGTCATGATCATGACTAACATATATATACTTCTATTTATATGTACTTCTTCGGTTTATATGTACTGAAATGTTTATTCTGCCACCGAGTCAGTGCGTTCATCTAATAGTTTGGCTGCTGGCCAAATGGGTACAAGAAATGAAATTTATAAATTATGGAACAATCACGTTTGCAGCACGTGACCCCAGAAAGTGGCCAAAAATGTTGGCTCAGTCCCTGCATCGATGATGGATCTCCAAAAGCAGTAAGCCAATACCAAAACATTGGGAAAACTAAGATTTATATAGCCATTGTTACATAAGTTTTATAAATATGCCGACAGCGTAACCTTAAAATACTTTAATGGTTTCTATTATTTTATGATGTGTATATGGCGTCTAAAAAAACCATAAAATCTATTTTCTATAGATATTTTGGGACCATAGTTTTACACTATGTGAATGAGGAAACTTTTTATTTTTTAGAATCATATAAAACAATATTCTTTGCATACTTTTGGATATTTTATTAACGGGTTTTTATTATTTTATTCCATTCATCCTAGAAATGATACTCCTTAATCTCGTGATGTTTTTGTCTGCCTGCAGAGACAATGGATGATGAGGAGACCCCTTGGACTTTGCCTACCCATCACCCTACACAAGATCCACTTTCATCGCAGCCAATCCAGCTGCGACACACACGAACCGCAGCCATAATCTCTCCGCAAAGCCTACCCAGAACTCGGAACCCCTCGGTTATAATGGAACCCTGCGGCGCTCAACAGTTGGTCGTCGGATCGAGCTTCCTCACTTGCCGACGGGCTGCGATCGCGACCGCTCGTTATTTGCTCGCAGAGAACGCAGATCGGAGACCGGAGATCGCAGAAGTCTGTTGGCAGTTCGGGCCGCGTTTCTGTGCCGTTCGCATCGCACAAGTGCTCGACGTTGTGGGTAAAAATAAATATATAGATTTCGTAAATGAAAATAACGCGGCGCGAGTGCTGAAATAAACCGAAACGTGTGCGCTAATCGAAGGCAGTGGTGATTAGGAAATGGTGGCCAGCGAAGCGCCACCCGCAGAGGCGACGGTGGAGGTGGAGTTGCCTTCACAGCCACCGCCGCCGGCAAAGGATTCGGAGGATGTCACTCTGGATGCCATTCTGAAGCATTTGGGTCAGTTTGGACGCTTCCAGCTGATCATATTCTTGCTGATCTGCCTGCCAATGATGTTCCATGCCATGTTCTCGGTCACCTACGTCTTCACTGCCGCCACTGTGGCGCATCGTTGCAACATTGAGGAGTGCGACACACCGGATAGTAGATTCTACGAGAAGCATATTGAGTGGAGTATACCCAAGAATGGCAATGACCCCTGCAATCGTTACACCAATCGGGATCTGCCACTGTGGAACGAGACGGTCGACATTTGCCTGCCCAACCATTACACGGCTGAAACGGAAGCCTGTCCCGGCAATAAATTCATATTCCGCGATAACGAAGTGACCATTTCGAATGACGTGAGTATCAAAGTGCTACCACATTGGGGGTGCTGTTATCACCATCACCGCATGCCAGGCTCTCTCGACACTCTCACGCCGGCAGACATGGACTTTGATAATAAGTCAGCCGATTGAGGCACATGCTGCTGCCTGGACCAGTTGTGCAGTTGTCGAAAAAAACAATCGCCCATATTGGTCATCAATCCATCGTTAGTTCAAATCTTATCTGCAGTCTATAAAATCAATATCAGACATTGATTAGAGGCCTATATGCAAGCCATGACAGCCATGGCACATGGGGTGTTTTGACTTGGCTTAAAGTAAACAAAAAAGTTAATCGGTTTAAAGGGTTAATGGAAAGTCTTACCAAATAATTGCCAATTTATATAGTCCGAATTTCATCATTAAAGTGTTTGGAATCAAGGGATCTTAAGAACTTAAACCAAATTATTGCATTTATAAAAATTTATGGGTACTTGGAATAACCAAGATAGCCAGATAGCTCACTGTGAGGTAAGGATCGATTGCGGTTAGCCCCCCAGAACTGTAGACAAGCACTCCACCACGGGTTCAATGACTAAAGTGTGCCTTAAATAATTTACTGATAGCCGCCGATTATAGTAGTTTATAATCACAGCCAGACGGGGCCCGAAATCGGGTTAATGCAGTTCAGGTAGGATAGGATTGCACTGAGTAGCAAGTGTAAACCTCTTAAAACCATAACATTACGTCAAGTGGGCCAGCTGAACCAACAGAAAGACTATTGTGAAGGTCCAAAGGTAAACAGAACTCGTCGTAGTATTTAGTTAGCAATTGAGGGGATAATGGAGGAATTTTACCACTCGAAAGGTAAACAAATTTACTTTTCACGGCCACATCTGAGATGATGGACAAACTTTTGAGAACATGCTTAATGCGCCCTACGTTTATAATGTCGGAAGCTGCTACAGATGTCTCCTAAGTGGCCTGATGAGCTCGGGGAAAACATTCTTTATCAGACAATTGGACACGTACTTGGAACGCGACTAAGTGCCCCCTCAGAAGCCAGACGAGCTGACAGAGCAATTGCAACATAGGCAAACAAATTGAGATTAAAATATTCCTCAGTAAATGAGGTTACAATTTACGTTAATGGTTGAAGGGAAAAAGATTTCCATCCAATCTTGTTATAATTTGGAATTTTTTGTGATATTAAATGAGCAATTCATCAATAAAGGAGGCAATGGTCAAAGGGAAGAGAAAGGGAATCTTCATTGCAAAACAAGAAAGGAAACTAACTTCGAGAACCCAAATGTTTATACACCATTCCAGTTTGCTATTAAACTATAGTATCAAATCGGAATCTGATCAAGAATAAATGTGATTTATAGGGTCGGAAATGATTCCCTTCACTTTGTAACAAACTTCTGACTAATATTATAATACCCCACAAGGGTACACCTTATGCTAAGTTTGTAGATAAAAGAATTATAAGGATTGAAATTTATTTCAATATATTTATATTAAACATTAATGTCAACTAAGAATTCATGAAGATCAATAGTCAATCAATCCCAAAGAGCTAACTAATTTGGTGAATTTTTATTTTCTTTAATAATGAAATACGTATAACTATAATAATGAATAATATAGCATCCACCTTAATAAATTTGTACTAATTTAATGCACAATGAATGACTTAATAGAATAATATATACGCTTAATAAAAATGTTCCTTTTGTAGTTTGACATTTACTGCGACGATGAGTGGAAGCTATCAATGGTGGGAACCATTAACAATCTGGGACAGTTCTTTGGCATTCCCATTGGCGGATTTGTGGCAGATCGGTGAGTACTGATACCTCTTCCTTATTGTATACAAGTCTTATCCAATCCCTGCTCCATTGATAGTTATGGACGCAGCTTCTCCATTGCCCTGGGTGGCATTATGGGCGCCGTCCTGGGTATCGTACGTTCCTACTCCCCCAGCTATGTTTGGTTCCTGATCTTTGAGTTCCTGGATAACATGACCAGCAGCACATTGTACTCAACCTGCTTTGTGATTGGCATTGAGCTGGTGGGTCCCAGGCGACGGGTCCTGGCCTGCAGTGTTATCACGGTCTTTTATGCGATCGGCGAGGTGGGTCTGGCCATGTTCGCCAAGGCCTTCCCTGACTGGCGCATCCTGCTGCGCATCACCTATATGCCCTCGCTGATCCTGCTCGCATACTTCTGGATCCTGCCGGAGAGCGTGCGCTGGCTGCTCAGCCAGGGCAAGGAGGAGCGAGCCAAGGGCATCCTGCGACGTGCCGCTAAGGTCAACAAGCGAAAGCTCTCGGAGACCATGCTGGACAAACTTGTCCTGGGAAATCGTGACAAACTGCAGCAGTCGGCGGAGAGTCGCTTCCCCATTCGCGAGGCTTTCAAGAACTTCAAGTGGCGCATTGCCAACTGCTCCTTCTGCTGGATTGTCCATGTCCTGGTCTACTACGGCCTCAGTCTAAACGTGGTCCTCCTCGACGGGGACAAGTACAACAATTTTGCGTACATCGCTTTGGTAGAGATTCCCGGTTTCTTTATGCCTCTGCTGATCATGGACCGCTTCGGACGGCGCTACTCCCTCTGCGGTCTGATGCTGGTCAGTGGTCTCTGCTGCATTGGAACCATATTTGCTGGAGCGGATCAGCCGGTGCTGCAGCTGGTGCTGTTCCTCATCGGCAAGCTGACCATCACTGCCAGCTTCCAGGTGCTCTACTTCTTCGCCTCGGAGATCTATCCTACAAATCTGCGCAACAGCCTGCTTAGCTTCTGCTCGATGATGGGCAGGTTCGGCTCCATGCTGGCCCCGCAAACGCCTCTTCTGGTGGGTACTGAAAGCGAATGGTTTAATTCATTGGTTAGTTATATGTTCCCTGTATTCCCCCTCTACCCCGCAGGCCAAGTATTATGCCAGTGCTCCGGCTCTGATCTTCGCCGGCGCTGCCATTGTGAGCGGATTTCTCACACTATTCTTCCCCGAGACCACAAACGTCGTCCTGCCAACGACTGTGCAAGAGGCGGATGCCATTGGTGTCAAGAAGAAACCGTCGCAGGCCAAGGATCTCGATCTAGTCGTTCCGGCCAGTCAACCGCAGTAATCGCAGCTATCATTACCGTAATCTTAGCCTAAGGCAGCCTGCAAATACAAAGACATTTCTCCACAAATGTGTTATATAATCTAAGAATAAGCCATTATACTATATATATATATATTCTATTAATAGCATTAACAAAGAACTGAATTTGATTTATTCACTGGCAATTGGCAATGATCAACATTGGTACTTAAGCCTAAAAATGATGTTCATCTTAATCTTATTAGAGTAGAAAATGGAACAGGTTTGTACAATTATAAAAAAAAGTATTAGCTTCAATAAGTCAAGTTTACAATTAAGAAAACAAAAGGCAATTCAATAATCAATCAAGCTGTCCGCCGAAATTAATTACATTACAATTGAATAAACAAAATATATATATAGCCGCTTTGGCTTGAGTTACATCCTAGCAGAATTTAAGAAAATTTTCCATAACATACTTATTTTGATTTGTAAATTGTGATAGAAAAAAGGTGCGGTAATGACTCAATGGCTTTGACTAAAGAACTGAGCTATTGTCTTATTTCCACTTGAGGAACCTCCAATTGTAACATTTAATGACTTCTGTTTTTGTTTCTTAGATTGACCCGGCGATGTCTTGTCCTTGCTGAGCGCCGCTGTTCGAGTGCGCAAGTCCTGCTGATTCAATTCGCGCTGGAGGTTCCTGGCCACATGGTAGTCAATGTGCTCCGGCATATCTACACTCTTTACGTATGCCTTGCACTCGGAGCACTGCTGCATTGGAACATCGCTTGGTGGTGGTGGCGCCGGCTCCTTAACGCTGAAGAACTTGGCTATGCTAGTACTGGGAGAAGCAGAGTTTGTACTGATGGCCTTCTTGGCCTTTTTTGGCGGCGATGGCTTGGGTGCGACCTTCTGGCGGCACTCCTTCTGCCGCTCCTCCCGCTGCTCACTCTTCAGCTGGCGACTTAGCTCCTGTGCGAAATGATGGTCTCGGTGTGTTTGCAGGGCCGTGATGTCGTCAAGGATCTTAGCTCCGCATTGATCGCACTTCACCGTGGGCAAAAGGCCAGAGCGCAGCTCCGGAACAGCGTACTCGGCATAACTCTCCTTATAAGTGCTGTCCACTTCGTTGAATTTACGCTTAGAGGAGGTTGATGGCTGCAGTTCCTCTTCGGAAAGTGGAGGTTGTTCTGCATGCGACGAACGAGATTCAATTTCTGATGTGGGAGGATTCGAAATAGAATTATGCTTCTCTGCCTCAGGATCCTCAGATACCGATGTCTGGCCTGCTCTTGTTAAATCGGTATCCTCTACAGTATCGTCATCGAAATCCTTTTGGGTGCTAGCCTCGATGGCGTCCAACTCCTCGGCCAGGCCGTGCATATCATCCTCTTCTGCTGCCCCAGACTTCTCCTCCTGGTTCTCTTTTTGTTGCTTCAAGTACTTTGAGAAGAAACTCTCCTTAAGCTCTGGAGGCGTTGAATTAATGGCAGTTCCCTCGTTTTCGGCTTTTGCTTGGATGACAGCCTTCAGCTTCTGTTTGTAATCCTCAAAGAAATTCTTTTTTGGACCTTCATTAGAAGGCGCAGCCACAGGATTTGTGGCCTCCGGCTTCTTATCCTCTTTCTTGGATAGATAGTTGGCAAAGAAGCTTTGCATCTTGGACTCTTCCGTCTGCTTGGGCTTTATTTCCACAGGGACTGATTTTACTGGCTCCTCACCGCTCACCCTTCGCTTCTTGGCCGCCTGATTGGCAAACATTTCCTGGAGTTTGTTCTGGGCATTGGAAACGGTCTCGAACTTGCCGACGCTGATGCCCAGGAACTTGATGGCATTGTTCAAAGCTGCCTCACTTCCGGCCCTCAGGAATGTCTTTGTATTGGCCTTGATGAGGTCCAAGGCAAACTTTGCCAGCGATTCCTGATCGTAGTCTTTGAGCGCGGTGGAGCGGGAGCTAGCCACCTCCTCACCGTCAATGTCCTGGACGTACTGCACTACCATCTGCTTGGCCTTGCGATTGTTCTCAATGAAATCCTTCTCCAGTCGATCGTTGATCTCAGAGGAGAGTTCACCAAGCCAGTGTTGGAGCGTTTTCAAGCCAGTGATATTGTTCCGCCCCGGAAACTTCTTGCAGCACCCAATGCTTTTGGAATAGAAGCGTGGAGTCACTGCCTCCAGGTCGATGCCGCGAGAGATGTTGAACAGCCAGGAGCTAGAGCCGAACCCAATGAAATTAGATTCTCCAAAGGGCAGCCAAAACAAAAACTCACCCATTCTTCTCATCAAATTTGCGCTGCAGCTCCGCCTCTGTGAACTTGACTATTTGGCCCAGGAACTTAATACCCATGGTTTCGCACACCACCTCGCCGAATTTGCCGCCCAGACCCTTGATCTTGCCCACGGGCAGGGCTTCAAAGAAACCGGGGATCTCCGCCAGCGGAAGAACAGTCTGCTTGTTGGGCTTGTTCAGGCCGGCAGCCAGCTTGGCTAGGATTTTGTTGTGCGCTATTCCCGCCGAGCACTCGTAACCGGTCTCTTTCTTGACCGCTGCCCGCACCTCGCCAGCCACGGAGGCGCCGATAAGCAGCCTGATGTCGCTCTGTCGGACGGCGGGCAAGTCGTTTTGGTCATAGGACAGCGCGAAGCGTTCGTCATCGATGTAGGGATTGGCAAACCGGTTCGTGATTTTGTTGACATAGTCTCCGATATTGCTGTAGCCCACGGCAAAGGTGTTAACCAGCTCCTGCGGTTTCAGTGCAAAGGCGCCCTGCAAGGAATCCACGTGGTTAGAAGCTCCACCCGTCTAATCTTAAGCTGCTTACACTCTGCATTTGCTTCATGCGCAGGTTCACCGTTTCCGTGATATCCAGATACGCCTCGTCTACCGAGGCGCGCTCCAGAAGCGTGGTAAAGCGTTGCAGCACATTGGCCACTTCCTTGCCAGCGTCGCGATACTTGCTCGTGTCCGCCTTCTCCCGGATGTTGGGCACCTGGCAGAGCACGATTTCAGGACAGAGGTCCTTCGCCTCGTCGCCGCGCATGTGGCGAGTAACTCCCTTGGCCCGCGCCGCATAGTTCACAGCAATGATGCCGCCCCCGCGCCAAGGATTGTACTGGACCACGGCCAGGGGCCGGTTGCGGTACTCGGGCTGCTGCTTCTCCTCCACCTGGCAAAAGAAGCAGTCCATGTCCACCAGGAGGACCACACGATCGTATTTGCTCTGCATGCTAACATGGCTGCGTGCGGAGGCCATGGTTTCATTTCGTATAATTGCGCGAATTTCACAATAGGGCTGGTAAAGAGTCGATTTCAGTATCGATACTATTGATCGATAGCCATTTTCAAGATAAATTCTATCAATTACAATTAATTATATGGAAAATAGCTATAATTATCACTTTCCGCTTACCCAGAGGGCAAATAGCTAGCTTGGCAACACTACTTGAAACTGGTTTACGATACATCGATACTTTCAAAATCGAAACTAAAGCAATCGATAGCAACGATGTGGACATCGACTTGTTCCCATCTCTATTTTCTTGTGTGTTCCTTCACTTTTCGAATAATATAAACAAACAAGTGGATGTTAAAATGTTTGGTGCAACGTAATTTCCGGCGTGATATTCGCCAATAAAAAAGTAGTCTCCATATCCGAAACAAATACGACGAAGCGGTAAAAAGCGGAATTAAAATGTGCGTGCTCATAATAAGAAAATGACTAAAACTAAGCAGTGTCCTGTTTTTTTTTTGTGTGTGGGTGTGAAAACATTGTGAAAGCTTAAAAGAAGAATTAAAATACCCAAGTGAATGCATAAGCTGGTGAAAATTCCTGGCAAGCGGTTGTGATATTGATTTTCTGTCAAAAGCCGCTGCCAAAATGCAATTTACATACACACAGGGCAGGCACACTCATCCCTCCTCATCCCTTATCCTGGATTTTCCTTCGCCCCCAAGTTCATTTGGGTTAATGCACGGATTATTATCGCTGGATTTATTGATCTGGTCAAGCGGTAGCCAGAAATAAATATTCCCTATCGTGCCGCGCTCTATTTCCGGCATTTCTACGCTACCCCTCAACATTTTTCCTCCAGTTCGCCATTCCACCTCATCTACCTTTGCGCATTTCCGCCTCTTTACCGGCTGTTTTGATTGATGCGCCTAGTGTGTGTGTGTGAGTGTGTGTGTGGGTGTTTGTCCAACGGCTTAATTATCCAAACGCACGGATTAGGAGTCCGATTCGGTAGTGGGCTCCACCCTGGTCAAGTGGCTCTTAAATCCCCGGTGAACGAAGGCTCTGCGGTGGAGTGGGAACACCCACAGGAAAGGGCGTGTTTGTGTGTATTGTTGTGACCTAATTTCCTGTCTGTTTACTTTATGACTGACTGCTTTCTGGGTGGAGGAGGGCGATGAGGTCGCCGCAGGAATGCTAGCGGAAATGAAAGGTGCAGCACTGACCTATTGTAATATTCCATGCCATATCAAGGTAGTGGTTAAGTGCGGTTGAGTTACTAGACCCACTCTGCTTTTGATTGCCCTACAGGGCCGGGATCGGGTTACATTACTTTGAAGGTGGTTTTTTCTGTTGTTCCATTTAAATATTAAATTCGGGTAATGTGAGTATTATGGTTAGGGGTTTTCTTTGATTTTAAAGTAAAGTAGGAAAGAGTTATCTTAAAGTATAAGTCAAGATATTTTGTGATATTGGGATATCGAAGCATTAAATAAAATAATATTAGAGACACAGAATTATGATTTGAATTTGACGTAGATAAAACAAATATGAAATTAAACGTTTAAGTAATGATTAAACTTTTATCGAAAATATGGGGCCTTAAATTATAGCTTTTTTCAACAATAAAACCCAATAAAATTCACATTAATTATTAATTTCCTTCTAAAAATCATTGTTCTATCCATAATAATTCCGAAAACTGCCTCCCTATTTGTGTTTATCGCTGTGACTTGCATGCAAAAGATAATTATTTTCAATTTTACAACTCTAATCAAAATTAATTGCCGTACTCTTCACTCAGTTAGTCTGTGCCCCTAGCGCTAGCTACCCCTTATCCGCTCCACTCTATGGTCATGGCCCTTATCCGGAACCCAGCATAAACGCACAATTATGCTAATGGTTCACATGCCCAAGCAGCAACAACAACAACTACTTGACTGAGCCCCCGTCAAGAGCTGCGTCAACCCACTCACCAATAGAGCTCTCACTCTGCCTCGCTCTGTCCACTCCCAGAGAATTCTCTGCTCTGGCGACTGATTCACCGTGAGACCATCAGTCTGCGTGCGTCCGGCGATGAAGTCACTCTGCTCATCAGTTCAGCAGGGCGTTGTATTTGCAGTTGCGGAGAGCAAAAGTGAAATCTAAAAGGATCCCCGATTCTCTTTCGCAGCGAGACCAGCCATGGTGAAGATCCTGCAGGCCTACAACTTTGCCCGCCAGCAGACGTATGCCCTGAACGGCGACATCCTGGCGGCCAGTCTGGTTGGCAACAACCGAATAGCCATCAGCAGTGCGGAGCAGTTCATCGAGATCTATGACATTGCGGGAAAGCAGGAAGATGCCAGTGGAACGTGTCAGCAGGAGGAGGGTCTACCAAGTGAAGGGGCTGGAGAGCCTGCCCCGGCCTCAGGCGATGAACGAACGCCGAACAGGAATACTCTGGCCACTGTTGGAGAGGTGGTCCAAATGATATACTGCGAAACGGGTGAGTTCTATCATAATTTCCCAATGAATAAGAGTAATGAGTCCCAAATCTTATCCAGGCAAGTACCTGCTCACCCTGGAGAAGGAGCAAGCGGGCAGTCCCGTTCACTCCTCCTCCACCATCAGCTGCACCTCAAGCAGCAACAGCAACACCGTCTGCTCCGAGGACGACACAAAAATGTTCGTGCGAATCTACGCCAACTTCTGGAAGTTCCCGGACAGCCGGCTCAACGAGCTGCCCATCACTATCCGAATAGCCTCGATGACCACGCCCAAGACGCCGCTGGTCGAGAGCATTGATGTGATCGAGTTGCCTCTGCGCAGTCCGCCGGAGCTGGTGCAGTGCTGTCAGACATCGGGAAACATTATCGTGAGCAGCCGGGACAGGATCTATCTGTACGAGTACACCCAGTGCGTCCACGAGAACACCCAGCCACGGTTCGCCTTCATTGACTTCCTGCCCTTTAAGTTCTTCGTGCAGCTAAACTTCGTCCCTGTGCGTCTGTGCCTGGCGGAGAACGTGATTGCCTGCCTTAGCCATCGGTACTGCGTGGCTTTCAAGGTGGTGGATGCCTTGGCCAGCCGGGCAAGTGCTGGACAGGATGTGAGCTGCTTAGACAATGATTATGGTGGCGGAGATGAGCCCCTCTCAGAGTCTCTGAGTCTGGGCAGCAAGGCCAGTGCCAGCGGAGGAGGCGGTGGCGTGGTGAGTACCAGTCACAGTCAGCAGAGCTGTGAGAGCGACTCCCTCCAATCGACGAGCAGTGGTAAGCCGCCCTTGGCTATCAATGGAGCCCTGCCTGGACGATCCCCGCTGGATTTCAACGTGGCCAAGCTGGTGAACAATGCCTACGGGCGGGAATTCGAGCCAGAGTTGCGCTCCCAATGGGACGAGACAGAGAACGGCGGTGGAAGGGGACAGGAGGATAACCAGGAGATCACCATTAGCCCCAGAGAGCTTCGGATATTAAAATCAAGCTGGTCAACGAGGCTAAGGCCATGAATGTAAGAGGCATCGCCGGCGGCAGCCATCTGGAGGATGCGTCGGTGCAGTACGATGTGCGGAAGCTGCTCCAGATCTGCATGAGGACCTCAGAGGCTCAGCCGCGTGTATTAGATATTCTGCGCTGCATGGACCTCAGGGCCATTTACCAGCGCAGCAGCCAGGACGCCGACAATGAGGACGATGAGTACGACATGGGTAACCAACAGGTACCCAGTGCAGTGACCACTTTCAAGCACGTAAACCGCCGCACGCTCAAGTCCTCGCAGCATCAGAGGTGCGTGGGCCATGCCCTACTGGTCGCCAGCAGCGTAGACGGCTATCTGTACCAGTTCTCTGCTCAGGGCAAGTGGTACAGCGAGAACGAGAAGCCGGTGGCAAGCTACAGCTTCACGGCTCCCGTGATTCAGGTGCACATTAATGACTATGTGGTGTACGCGGTGACCTCCGAGTCGGTGGAGACGCATACTTCGCGCATCGGCCACAAGCTATTTCACAATCGTTTTGAGTATCCCACAATCGGCGGTCTATTTCCCGAGGAATCCGCCCCGGACGTCAGTTCGCCCATCGCCGTCATCGGTCTGGCTGCCTTTATGCATGTTCAATTCGTCTGTGTGAACCGGGAGCAGCTGGTGCTCATCACCAATGCAGCTCTGGAGCTGCACAAGCGACGCAGCATGGGCGAGGTGCCTGGCAGCCAAGTGGTGACAGTCAAGCGGAACATTGCGGCCCGCCTCCTGGCTGAGGCGAAGGCCAAGCACAGCAGCCTGCTGAGGAGCAGCAGTGCTGCCCAATCTGCGACGGTGCCCAACGAGTGGACGCTGTACAACCTGGAGGTGCCCCGCGTGGAGTGCGTCATCGATGACCTCGAGGGCATAGCGGAGTCGTATCGCAGTGCGAGTAGCTCCAACTTTTACGATCTCATGGAGGAGGCGCACGTCATGCTGCGTTTGAGTCTGACGCTGCAGGGCGAGCGCTTGGGGACAGAGCGGGAACAGTTGCTCCGTCAAATGTTCGTTGCAAACTGCAGAAAGCTTGCGGATTTTTCAATAAGGTAAGGAATCCTTGAAATTTAAACTCAACCAATATTTTTAATGAATTCTTCAGATCTAGCAAACAGGAGGTGTACCTCCAGGCCACTGGTTTCTACAAAATGTGCCAGTTGCAGTTGGTGGACATCTTCAACCATTACGTGGAGCAGTATATGGACAGCGGAGATAATGTGTTGGATACCTCTCAGCTGGCGGGATTGATTTACACTGTGAAGCTGTTTCTACTTGGCCTGGGAACGGACCGTCTGCGGTCCGCCTTTCTCAACCAGACAGTGCGTCCCTGCTTCACACCCGCTCGGGTGATCCAGCAGGGCTACAAGCAGGTGCCGCTCTCCCTAGAGTTTCTCAATATGTTCATCAAGCACGCTCCCGCCGACATACCGCAGATCATGCTAAGTTCGCCAGTCGTAGCGGACACCATGAGCGGGGAGCTGATCAACTATCTGAAGTACTTGAACAAGCTGTAAGTACTTGTATCAATCAATGTTGGAGTTGCCCAACTAATATCTTCTCCTTTCAGTTCCCCCGATGAGTCGCTTTTGCTTGCCGTGACTGCCTGCCGCATGTCGAACTACCTGCTGGCCCAGGAAATCATTGCCAAGTCGAGCAGACGCAGCCTAGCCACTGCCCTGATCCGACACAAGAACGTTCTCTTTGACGACAGTACTGTGATCTATCAGCGACGTCAGAATCTGCTGCAGGCCGACTCGCCCCAGGCATCCAGTTTGCGAGGCAAGAAGTCCAGACGGGGAGTAAGCGGTGGGAAGAATAAGCCCGCTACATTGGGCACACCCACTCCGAGTGCTATCGTCTCCTTTTCGGACTTCTGCGAGACTATTCTGCTGGCTAATGAGCAGCCCGCCCTGATAGAGGCCATCAGTGATGCCTTCATTCACGCCCTGTGTATCGAGCACAGTCTGACGCTGGACGTGCTGCTGCAGCTGTTCCTTAACTACATCGCCTCGCACATCGGTCAGAAGGGTTACCAGACCTCGCAGAAAGTGTTCGTGAACATCCTGCAGGTGTACTACTATGATCTCTACGACGTGAGCTCCTCGCTGCAGCCTCACGAGATCCGCTCACAGACGCCGCCGCAGCTGGACGACGACTACGATGAGGAGTGCAGCAGTTCGCGTGCGCCCTCGCTGCACAGCGAGGCAGATGCCCAGTCGTTGTCCAGCTCTTGTGCCAGTTCGGCTCACGAGGATCGTTCGGTGAGTCTGTCGGTCAGCGGCAGGCAGCAGCGCATTGTCTACGATCAGCTGCAGGAACAGCAGTCGTCGTCACCTTTCCAGAAGCGGAACTCAAACACGTCGCTCTCGCAGCCGCAGGCCGAGGACGACTTGGCGGCCACGAATCTCAAGGGTCTCAAGATCCTATTTCGCATGTATATGGGGCGGTTGAAGGCCCTCAGTGATCTCATTACTGATCTCCAGTCGGCGGATGTGGAGCAGGAGTCGAGCCGGGAGGATTTTATGAACCTGCGCATGGAGTGCATCTCCTATATGGTTGGCATGGCTCCCAACTATACCGCCAAGCCGATCGTAAAGAATCCCAACGACCCGCTGGCCGGTAAGCTTATCTATGTACCCTTTATGCCTGACTACAAGCTGCCGGAGGGAGAGGAGTATGAGCGCCACATCAAGAGCTACATACGGCCCATACCCTGTCTGCTGGAGCGACCGCAGTACCTGAACCGGCTGCCGCCCTTCGAGCGCAGCGACTTCAGCTATCCGAACAAGGATGATGGGGAGTTCGAAGTGCGTTTCTTGAGCTGGAGCAATGAGCTGCTGACGCTGACCCTAAAGATCCAGAGTTTGCTGGCCTCGGCCAAGGTGGATCGCGAGATCATCTCCGAGTTCCTGGCCTTCATACAGAAGACTCCGCACTTGATAGGCATCGACAGCTTCCTGGTGATCGTTCTGCCCAAGAACTTGGCCATCAACTATCTGCTTAGCTTCTGTCCCGCTTACTTATGGCAGTACGGAAAGGTGAGTCAACTTTTGGGAAATAACTTTTTTCGTAATAACTCTGAGCTCTACTCTTTCTTGCAGTCCTGCGGCTTCACTCCCAAGCACTGGGAAAGTCTCCTGCGGAAGATACTCAGCAAGCAGGAGGCACTGCCCAATTGGAAGGCACATATTACGGGTTTGTACACAAGGAATAACTTTTCACAAAGAACTCCCAAGAACAATGCAAACTTTCAGAGATTCTTAACAATCTGGTGGCCGAGCTTAGCTTCGAGGAGCTACTGCAGTGCTTCCCCAGCGAGGTGATTCAGAATCGGAACACTGCCCAATATTTCGCCAAGGAATTCGCCGAGACCTGCGTCCTCTACGAGCACGAGGAGCTCGTCTTCAAGACGCCCGATCGGAAGGAGGGTGAGAGGGAGCACATGCCCATGGACAACATAGACGAGGATAATGTCTTCGAGTTGACATTGCGTAAGGCGGTGGCCAAGCAGCGAAGCATCGCCCTAAGGTCTATGATCGAGGCGACGGGCACACAGTTGTTCGACGCCACCAGTAATCCCATGTACAACCTGTAGGCATTCCACTTTGAACTAGTTCAAAACTAAATTATCACATTGCGAATCGATAAGATTGATTGGATATTAACCAAGGTAGGCAGTTATGGAACACAGAACTCCACGTAGCGGGCACTGTATTGTATTTACGATATGTATTTTGTAGCTTTAGGAAACACCACACCCTCAACATTATTTATTGACATTTTAGTTTGACACAAACGCAACATTCGGTTACTGGGTGGGATGATTTATAGAACGGGATGACAGTGAAACCCCCTTCCGGGCTTTAGGTTGTAAAAATAACTCGCTCGCCGCGCTTCTAGGCGGTATTGGCCATATTAAACCAGTTGAGAGATCGGGGAGAGATCTTCTCCCGCAATCCTAGTTTCCTTTGAACTAAGCTTTAATACCCTTAAAGTATTTATTCATCAGTTTACTCTTATCTCTGTACTCACCAACACTCTCTTCTTACGCGAATATACACCAAGATAAAGTGATATTTTTAATTCTTGCATTGAATCTGAACAATAAAAGCATAAACATATTACAATGGCCACTGAATTTGAGTCTGAATCTGCGATAAGGCGGCAGAAGTCGCGCTTACTTAATCCAACAATTAAATTCTGGCCACTGACTCTGGCTCGGGCAGGTGGGCGTGCCAAGGTAATTGAACGTGCGAACACAAAAAGTAGCGGGCACAGATCTCAGCAGCTTGAATAACTCAGTCAATTAAGAGCATTGACTCCGACTGCTCAGTCACTTGACGACGCTCGGCAGCAGCAGCAGCAGCATGTTCAAGCTGCAGAACACCCTGGAGGTTGTTCCGGAGAAGTCAGAGTCCGGACTCGAGGACGAAAACCCTCCGTTGCCCACAGAAGGCTGTCAGCTGGATGCTATAATTGTGAAAATCGGACAGTTTGGTCGCTTCCAGATCACCAACTATCTGCTGCTCTGCCTGCCCATCATCTGCAATGCTTTTTATTCAATCTCTTACGTTTTCACCGCCAGCGAAGTGGCTTACAGGTGGGTCAGTTAATATGAGTAGTAAATCTATTTAGAAAATCCCATACAGGTGCAACATCACCCAGTGCGACACTCTGGAGAGCAGCTACGACGAGCCCTTCCTCAACTTTACTACACCGCAACGCCACGGAGTCTGGGATCACTGTGAGCATTATGCATTCCGGCCCGATCTGGAGGCTGTTCTGCATCATTATCTGGGGGCAGATCCATGCAACAATAGAAGCTTCGATGTGGGTCAGCGGCTTAGCTGCGATTCGGGCTTCATACTGAGACAAGACGAAAAGACTATAGCCAGCGAGGTGAGCTCCTTAATTAGATTGTGATATTTGGGTTTTACAGTACTCTTCTTTATCCCTAAAGTTTGGCATCTTCTGCAGCGAAAGATGGAAGCTGTCAATGGTGGGCACTGTGAACAATATCGGACAGTTTGTGGGAATCCCCTTGGGCGGTTATCTGGCCGATCGGTAAGTTAAAAAACGATAATCACGTTCTGATTAGGTATTAAGTCTATATAGTATTAGTAGTATTAAGTCTATAAATCAAACAAACAAAATTGTAATTAAAATTCACATAAATTATAAAGCTAATTACTCTTGTCTAGTTTTCCCATAAACTTGGCAACCATAACCTTCCACATTGGAATGAAAAAAATACCTTTATATATATTTGGACGCATTTTTAAGTCGCTGGGAGGTAAGATCAGGTAATTTGGAATGCAGAACATGAATATCCAAGGAATTCACGACCTCGCCAAACTGGTGTCCCACGTGAAGTTCAACAAACGCGTTCAAGTTGAATTTAAAACAAGATAGAAACCTATGTTAACTTCGAAAAGCTGAACTATGTATACCCTTGCAGTTACCCAATGAATAATGGGCTCGAAAGTTTAAAATATCATAACATATCAATTGAATTTCAAACAATTAACACTTAATTATTTTGATATCGTATTTATATAATCGTTATAGTTTAAAAAGTAAGCATCCAGTTGCGTTCCATTTTTCGTTATAATTGATTATAAAGGGAGCACCCAAATGGGTCGCAATTGACATCAAACTAGGTCACGCCTACCCGGCTATTTTAAGATATACACAAGTCTAGGACATAAATATTAATTAAAATACCATAAATAAGAATATATAATATGGAAATAATATATAATTTAAAAATTTTCAACGTATATATCATTTAAACAAACAAGTTTTTAGTAAATTCCGATAATTTACTATGCGTTCAAAGCTACAACAGCAAATATAGAACTTAAATAAATTTACAGCCCAAATTATTTAGATTTAAAATCCTTATTATTATAATTGAATAGTGACTTAAAAATGTGCTTCTTTGTAGATATGGTCGTAAATCCATACTGGTTGCGGCGGGCGTTCTGAGCTCCTTCGCCGGACTGGCCCGTTCCCATGCTCCCGAGTACTACAGCTTCCTCAGCTTGGAGTTCCTGGACATGGCCGTAGGCAGCACACTCTTCCCACCGCCTTTCTGCTGGCCGTGGAGCTGGTGGGTCCCAAGCATCGAGTGGTGGCGGCCACAGTGATCAGTTTGACCTATGGTCTGGCGGAGGCATCCATGGGTTATCTGGCCGACTACCTCCGTGACTGGCGTTTGTTCCTCAGAGTGCTGTACACGCCGGCTCTGCTGCACTTGCTCTTCATCTGTCTGCTGCCAGAGAGCGTCCGCTGGCAGCTCAGCCAGTCCAAAGAGTTGGAGGCGAAGGCCACACTGCGCAAGGTGGCCCAGGTGAATCGGAAGGAGTTGCCGGAGAGGCAGCTCAGTGATCTGATCCTCAGCAATCGCATGCTCGTGGACGGAGGACAGGCCCCCGGAGGTCACTACACCGCTCGCCAGATCGGCCGGGCGCTTGGAGGTCGGATTGCACTGTGTTGCTTTGTGTGGCTCATACACACCCTCATCGCCCTGGGATTGAGTATCCACTCTGGCGCGCTAAATGGCAGCAAATTCGAGAACTTTAGCATGACGGGATTCATGCAGGTGCCGGGAATTCTGCTGGGCACATTCCTGATGCACTGGATCGGACGTCGATGGGCGCTTACGTCCTGTCAGTTCACATGTGCCACACTGATCCTAGCTGTGGCAGCCACGGATGAAGGTGAGCATAAAGGTTCAAGTAAATATGATAAAATGCTTACTGAAATCTTTCCCGCTACCAACAGATTACCCCAGATCTCTTCGATACTGTTCTTTCTGGCCAAGATGATCTCTACGGGCAGTTTTATGATTGTGTACTTCTTCACCTCCGAGATTTTTCCCACAAACTGCAGGAATAGCCTGCTCTCCTTCTGCTCCTGCATGGGTCGCTTTGGTTCCATGTTGGCCCCGCAAACGACTCTTCTGGTGAGTAACTACTCCAATCTAACCGAGCTCCAGTCCCTTAAGATCCACTTTCAGATCGATTACTATGAATATGCTCCCCACTTGCTTTTCGCCCTATTTGGATTCACCTGCTCGGGCCTCTCCCTATTCTTTCCGGAGACCAGCAATAAGGTGCTGCCCACCACTTTGGAGGAGGCAAAAGCTCTGGACAGGAGTATGCCCGGGGCTAAGTCAAAAAGTGAAAAGAAAAGTGCTGAGTAATCAAATTTAAAGCATTATCGCGTCGTGAGTATCGGAAATCTGAAAAATCGGAGCTTGTGACTTTCAATGGCCAGCAAAATATGATAAGAAGTACAAGTATTAGCAATAAATAATTTTGCAGTATAAGAAATCCCCAGGCGACATTTGATATATGAATATTTTACATGGGAAGTTTTGTATGCAATGAAGAAGTTAAATAATATGTTAAGGAATTAATACTTTTGAAATTTAAGATTTAGAAAATTAAATAAATAACAGGGCTAATGGCCTGAAAAGACTACATTACACTAAAAATATTAATCAACCATAAAATATATTAAACCCCAATTATACTAAACAGCTTGCTTCTTCAGTATTCTTTACCAACCTTAAAAACATAATAATTTTGGAAATGGAATTACAAATTTAATTCCACGATAATCATTATTATTGAACTGCTCTAACAAAATGATCTCAGATAATGCCAAATAGCGAATTGATTCCATATGAAGTGGCCTGGCAAACAATTGTGTGTTTATTCTGGGTTATTTCTCTAATTCCGTTTGTCAACGGGGCTTATCACTTGTGTGACTAGCATTTATGCGAGATATTAGCGATTTATGGTCAATGACGCTCAGTGGGGCCCAGTGCCATATATATTTGTCGAGAAATTTCAATTACAGCTCCCATCGGAAGTTATCATTGATTTATCAGTCTGCCCGGCAACCAAGCCGAATCGAACCGAACCGAACCGAAGCAATACGATCCGTTAACGGTCAGTAAGAGGTTTCCCCCTTTAATCATCTTATAGTCCGGGTAAACTAAATCAAGTGTGAAGCCACATATGATGGGCATGCGTCAAAGTCAATGGCATAGGGTAAACAGCGTAAGATAAGCCGAAGGTCGGCGGGGCCAAGGAGCACTTGTTGACCCAGTAGAGCAATCAGCTAACAAGCGGGAACAGCTGTCGAGCCCAGACGACATCAAGTCTCGCCGTCTAAAAGATAAACAAAAACCAGTTCCCATATCGATTGATATAACCCATTCAGAATTTTACGCGCTCGAATTAGGATTGTTAACACAACGAGTTATCGTCGTCTGGGAAGTGCAAATAATTTCGGATGGGATTAGGGACTGATAAGAGCCCGTCGATAAGCAGCGGCGAGGAAGAGCCACAACAGCGTGGAGCATGGAAGAGCAGACAGATTATAAATAGCATGAAGAGAGGCGAGTCGCAGAGCCGCCGAATCACAACAGAGCACGGAGCTCGGTCGCTCGACCTTCTTGATTCCGTCAGTCAATGAGTGGCACTGCTCCCAGCCAGACGCTCCAGAGCGTCTATAAATAAAGCCAATAGCCGCCGGATCGGAAACGGTATTGTGAAATTTTGTGAGGCGCTGCGAGCGAGTTATAAAACAACGAGCGCTGAAGACCCCCATTTGAAAGTGCATTCGACCACGTGCTCCGTCCCATAGACAACAATGACCAGCCAGAAGGAGGGAGCCGGAGGCTCGCCGAGCAATCCCAGAACCAATGGACATGCGGATACGGAGGCGGGAAAGGAAACGCAGACACCGGCGGGTGATGACGACAACTCTCTAGACGCGATTCTGGTGAGGATCGGGCAATTCGGTCGCTATCAGATCATTAACTATGTGCTGCTGTGCGTGCCCATGCTCTTCAACGCCTTCTTCTCCATCTCCTATGTCTTCACGGCAAGCACCGTGGTCCAGAGGTGAGCTTTTAACCTGTGAAATAGGTGAGCTCATCCAGATCTGATCTAATCCATCTCAGGTGCAATGTGCCGCAGTGCGATAGTCCCAGCAGTGGCTACGAGGAGAGCTGGCTGAACTTCACCGTGCCATACAAGAACTCTGCCTGGGATTCCTGTAATCGCTATGTGGCAAACGATACAGCCATTGTGAGCATTCTTCCATATACGGATCCATCTGGAGAGTACTGCTCCTGGGAGTACTTCACCAATCGCACAGAGAGCTGCGGGCACGACTTCAAGTTCAGGGACAAGGAGAAGACTATAGCAACGGAGGTGAGTGGTCAGAGATAGGGAATATAGTAATTAATTGTTTAGCGGAAAGAGGCAATCTAGAAGCAATCTACGAAGGCATTATTTTTGGGTTTATATCAAAGCTATTTCTGTGTTTAAACTGATTAAATTTTCTTCTTTTAAATTAGATCTGCCTTATGCAAAGGTATTTGAGTTTTCTATTTTTAAACATCATTAAATTATAAATATATTCATTCATTGAGGTCTCCAGAAACATAATTGTTGTAGACTTGATCTGGAAAGATGATTAAGATATTTCCTATATTTTTATAGCTTTGCAAGGGTATTATAATTTCAGTCAGAAGCTTAAAAAACATTGAAAGAGTCATTTCCGACCCTATAAATCATATATATTCTTGGTCAGAATTAACAGGCAAACCTTTCTAGGTATCTTTGGCAAAAGAAATACAATTTTCAAAAATTTTAAATAAAATTAAATTAAATTAAAATTTTCAAAAATTGACAAAATGTTCAATTTTTCTAAATTTTGTATTGAGTATGCAGATTATTAACCTTATAAAACTTAGCATAGGAAAGCTTTCCGAATTAAAATTAATTAATTTTTGGCTTAGTTATGAGGTTTTAAAACATTGATTTTTCGGACAAACTGTTACAGAAGAATGAAAATATTTTAAGCTTAGTTATGATGGATTTCGGATATCATTTCAATTGCAAACTGCAAGCGCATATAAACTTGGGCATCCCGAAGTAACTTTCCTGTCTTGTTTAATATTTAATTATAACAAAATGTGCACGTTCCATCTACGTGTAAATATTTTCAATTGAAAATATAATGTCGCTGCTCGACCGGTTTAAAAACAAAAGCAATGCGTAAAACCTGAAATACCTTATCTTATCTTCTACTCCATTCTACTATTTGGATAGTCTTTACAACATTATGATTGTGTCCCAAAAGCAGGTTTATCTCTATTTGTTTTTGGGTTATATGTTCATTGGATTTAAGTGTGAAATGTGTAAATGCGAAATTGTGATTGCTATTGGAGTATATATTATATAGACTAATCTCCAATTAGTTTTATATTTATAAGGATATATTATTATCTTACAGTTTGGAATATACTGCCAAGATAACTGGATGCTGTCGATGGTGGGAACCATTAATAATGTCGGCCAGTTTGTAGGCATACCCCTGGGAGGTTTCTTTGCAGATCGGTAAGTTAACCTGGACTGTGATTATGTTGATTCTCTCATTGTTAACTGCTTCTCCGACCAGGTACGGTCGTCGCACTATGCTGGCATTTGCTGGCACCCTGAGCGCCTTCATGGGCATACTCCGGTCATTGTCGTCCAACTATTTCATGTTCATGGTGTTCGAGTTCCTAGACATGGCCGTGGGCAGCACGCTCTTTCCCACCGCTTTCCTGCTGGCCATCGAGTTGGTGGGTCCCAAGCGGCGGGTTGCGGCGGCCACGATCATCACAATATTCTACGCGGTTGGTGAAGCCTTCCTTGGGTTCTTGGCCTCGCAGGTTCAGGACTGGCGCTGGCTACTCCGCGTTCTGTACACCCCCGCGGTGCTGCAGATACTTTTCCTATGGATCCTGCCAGAGAGCGTTCGCTGGCTCCTCAGCCAAGGAGCCGAGGAGAAGGCAGCCGATGTGTTGCGTCGAGCGGCCCGCATCAACAAGCGTTCGTTGCCCGAGGAGCAGGTGGAGGAGCTGATGGCCAGCAACAGGCAAAAGCTTGGCCAAGCCAACGAGAGTCAGTACCCGATCATGCGGGCCGTGCGCTTCTTCGCCCTGCGGATCGCCAACTGTTGCCTCTGCTGGTTCACCCACACCCTGATTGCCCTGGGACTGAGCCTCAACTCGGTGAATTTGGGAGGCAACAAGTACACCAACTTTATGCTGAACGGTTTCATCCAAATCCCAGGACTGCTGCTGCCCCTGATCATCATGGATCGCATAGGCAGGCGCTACTCCCTCTGTGCCTCGATGCTGCTCTGTGCCATCTGCATGGGTGCCTCCGCGGGAGTGGGAGAAGGTAGGAGTAGGTGACTATAACTGAGATAAGCTAACTAAACACTGGATTTCTTTTTCCCTTCCAGATAACTATGCGGGTTCACTAACCCTGTTCCTAATTGGCAAGCTGGCCATTACGTGCAGCTTCCAGATCCTTTACTTCTTCACCTCCGAAATCTTTCCGACGAATGTGAGGAACAGCCTTCTGTCGCTGTGCTCCATGGTGGGCCGCATTGGCTCCATGCTGGCCCACAAACCCCTCTGCTGGTGGGTTCACTTACCCATACTGAAGTCCTTATACCAACTATAATCGATTTATTAATTCCAGGCCGAGTACTACATATACGCACCGCAGATCCTGTTCGCCACATTTGCCCTGATTAGCGGCTTCCTAACCCTTGGCTTTCCAGAGACGGCCGACAAGGTGCTGCCCACCACCATGGAGGAGGCGCGTGATCTGAATCTGGCCAGGCGGCGAAATCAGGAAGAGCAGCAGGGACAGGCAGCGGCGGAAGGAGGGGCGACCCACAAGGTCTCGCAATGATGATCTCTGACAGGGGACTTTCAAGGAGGCTTGAGTGTTAGTTTTAGTGAGCGCCAATGCATTTGTTGATTTTTTAACGTGTTTTATTTACGCTAAGTATTCGTCCGAACTGAAATATTTTAAAGCACAAACTTTTCTACGTGATATTTATATGCCGATTGAGCTTTTTCTTTTAGTGCAAATGTCAGGAACAGCTATGCCATTATTTATTGTTCGCTTTAGTATGTATCTACGTAATCCACTCTGTCTATTAATGGCAGCGACTAAGAATACAAAATGTTGTCCTGAAATACTTTTAACATCTGTCTTTAGTTACGAATTTTCGTTTTTATTTTGTATATAAAAGATTGTCTATAAACTATGAGTAGTTGTGTTTTATTGACTTTTTGCAATTATGTTTTTATATCCTTTCACGGTATCTTAATTTTAATTTTAATTTTCAATGGTATACAAACTTCTTCCTTGTTTTTAACTTTGGAATATTACTCAATTGACTCATAAATCAATTAATTGTTAAAAAGAAGCGTTATTAACGGATTATTTGGATGGGTGAATGTGTGTTTAAATAAATTTCTTTAAAGCGGCGTTTATTTAAAAGAAACCTGAAACAACCATGTTTTCACATTAATTTGGTTGTAAAATATATATTGAAATTATTTAGAAATTTATATTTTTTAACTTTTAAAATAAAATTTTATAGTTTTAAGCTTGTTTTAACAATAAATTTATCATAAATATATAGGAGAACTGTGGCGGAAACATACTTCTTGCTCTAGCTTATACTTTCCTAGGGCGCCACCTTCCGAATAGTATATAAACTTTCGACAAGTTCTTAAATGTTCCGTTGTGGAGCGCCACTGTGTTTTAATTCAAAAATATATATAGTCTTGATCTGCCGATTTAATTTTTGAATGCCCGATTGTATATTGTATATGCAACAAACTATTTAAGTTCGAAACTCTATATTTAATTTGGTCGTTTAATACGATGCTTTCTCATGTAAATGTTTAACACTAAACAGTACAAATTAACGGATATTTGGTTTTCATTCCAGTTTTAACTAATCAATAATCCTTCTTTTAAGTTTGTACTCTATAAACATGAGAACTAAAAACTGGAACAAGATTTAAGTACTTTAATTTGGCTTCAAAATTAGTTCCCTTTGAGAGTTCTGTGTCAATAAGTATTGATAGCTTCTTAATAAGTGCTTTAATTAATTTTAGTACTATACATTTGTGTTAAACGCAAAAAAAAAGAAATTAATGAAGTGAGCAAACAAAACTTTTACATTGACACCCAATGTATGGGTTACATCCGATCTTCAGCTTAAGTGGTTTTTCTCCTTCCTCCTTTCCAGGTGATATCTGAGGTGTTCGAAGCTTTTTTCGTGCTAAAAGTCAAGTACTCATAGGGTGCCATGTCAGACAATAAATCGAGCAATGATAGCAACGACCCTTTGAGTGAAGAACACATGCACTTGACTCTTGAATGGAAATACTACGCATCTCCGAGTTGCATGCGAGAGACATCGGGTCTCGGGTCGTGGGCCTCGGAAGGTCTCCTTCGTTTTGGTGACTCCGGCTAACAGCGATGATATCGCCCCGAAGAACCTTATCTGCCGATCTGCCAATCTACCAAACCATCGATCGCGCGATAGGATGGCCAGGTTCGGAGTAGTACCGAGCAGTCAGTTACCAATTGTCTATGGACGCGGAGAGACATGAGCGGCGGCGACTATGAGAGTGGTGACTACTTTATGCGCAGTCGGTGCGTTTTGGCCCTAATCGCGGTGTGATGTCAGTGATAACCAGGCCTTCCGATTCCGTATACTTCCAGGAAGTCTCGCGACAAGCCATCGCTGTGGGACTCTTTCCAGGACCCGCCATCGAAGAACAAAAGCGGCTCCGATGTTGACTGGAAGAAGCTGCAGTTCTTCCTTAAGCTCTTCAAGCTTTGTGTTTACCTCCTGGTCTTTGCTGTGGTTCTGGCCACGAGTGTGCTCGCCCAGCTGCTTTATCTCTACATGGCCGGAAACACTGGAGGCGGCGAAGGGCCGCGGGTGCAGGTGTGCAGCAAGTTCCGTGAGTAAAATCACTGTTCGGATTATCGATATCTCTTTGCTTATTTGGATTCCTTATTCGTTTAAAGTGCTCCTCCGCACCGGTGGCGAGGTGGTGGCTGCCCGCAACAAGCTGGACCAGATCGCCTGGGTGTGGGCCCTGATCTTTGCCTTTGCAGCTCCTGAGCTGCTGACCTTCCTGCGTTCGCTCCGCATCTGCCTTTTCAAGCGGGAGCAGCGACCCAGCGCACTGGAAGTGGGTCTGGTGAGTGTGTTTACTGGTCAGAACCTACTACTTTTTATTTTTGTGGGGGAATCACACACATACTTCGGAGGTGACTCAAATTAAATAAGCTATCATACAGGTTTCTGGCAACTTGAATTGGTTAAAAACATTTCTTAAGACTCTCAATTTTCTTTACAAATTTCTCTAGAAATTGCATGGTTTTACTTGGCAAAACTTTGGATTCGGAAACTTTTAGTTTGAGCTCTTGGTAATGATAACAAAAATGTATGAAAAGTTGTTCATGTTCATGGCGAATATTTGCCTGGCAAACTGAGAGTTTTATTTGATTACTTTGTTTATTTTTTTAATTATCTAGTTTACTTTTTGTAGCACCTTGTACATTTAGTTAGAACCAGAACAAGTTAGTTTCTTCATGTATTCAATTAAATAGGAAACCCATGTATATTATTTATTTAAGTAATTAAAAAGTTGCCTCTTTTTGCATAACTTTTAAAATTGATATAAAAGAGAAACGCATAGAAGCTTGTTAGATCGTTCATAGAAACTTATCCCATATTGCATCATCCTTCCCATTGCTTGAGTCACCCTAACCAAAGCCCGGTAGAGATTGATTGATAAGTCCCCGCTAATCAGGTCACGCTCTTTGAACTGCTCCACGTCGTTGGCCTGGCCCTGCTCACCTTCACCGTGCTCCCGGCGCTGGATGTGACGCGTGGAGCGATGCTGGGATGCTGCGTCTGCTTTGTGCCTGCCCTGCTCAGTGAGTAACTGTCTCTCTCCCCAACACCTAGGGGGATACGGAGCACCTGTCCACCGCCCACCACCCAGAACCAAACACCCAATACCCGACACCCCCTGCTGACTACGACGACGACAACGATGACGCCGACGACAACAACAGCAGCTACGAGATGTTATCGGTGGCCGGGTGTGCCGACTGACAACAATTAAATTGATTGCCCTCCGGCTGCTCAACGTTTCAGATTTGCTGACGGGCACGCGGCTGCACTGGAAGTCGGTGGACAGCCTGGTCCTGGCGCTCTCTATCCTGGCGCTGATAGCGCAGGGCAGCGCCTTCCTCCTCTGGCCCTCGATGAGCGACCGACTGGAGGTGCAACTGCTGACCCTTCCGCTGCTCCTCGTCTCGTTCCGCTGGTGGGAGAACTTTGCCAACACCCACGAGGCCCTGGGTGAGTGCTCAGCTTCACTGTCGGTCCACTATCGACTTAACTCGGGCACCAGGGAAAGCTTAATTAGTGTTGAGAGGATTCAAGGGGGTTGGTTTATAGAAATCAGATGACTTGGAAGGTTTTTCATTTAATACAACACGTTTAATTCGTTCAAAATGCTCTTTAAGAGCATCTTTTATCATTTATTGGTTTATTTAATTTGTTTAAAATAATTATAAAGCAGTATTCAGTAGTTGGAAGTACAGTTAAATTTAAATTATAGTAATCTTTATAAGTGTTCATAAATATATATTTGCTAAATCTTATCTTTATTCATCGACAGCCTATATCATTCGCACTATTCGCTGCACCCGCTCTCGTTACCACACTTATCTGTACCTGGCACCCTTAAAGGTCGTAGTTTTCGCGGGTATGAGCTTCCTGCTCCATGGCCAGGACTTTGTGGAGTATTTCAGCCGGTTCCTGGATGCCTGGCGGCCGCATCTCATCACACTTGTGGTGAGTGGACTCTATACCAATTACATCAAAGCACTGGGAGAAATTTAAAGGATTCGCATGCTAGTTTTTATAATTTGTTATCTGCAGTTTTAGATATAGTTCTTAAATTATAATATTTATTTCTGAAGCCATTAAATTACTTAATTTCTTAATGGTTTCTTATCTTTATTTTCCTATCTAGATTTATTTTCTATTCTTACTGATTCAACTTTCCTGTGCACTTTCAGCAAACTGGCGGTGATTCCATTGCGTCCAATTCCACCCTGGGCAGCTCATCAATCAGAGCCCAGCCATCCAGGACGCAGTTCACGATGCAGTCCAGTCCAAATGCGGTGGTCTATGCCCTGGCCGTGCAGGTGGTGGCCGCGTATTTGTGCCACGTTTTCGGCAAGTTTGCCTGCAAAATCAAGATCCAGGTGTTCAGCTACGCCCTGCCCCTCAGCCTGGCCGGACCGACAGCGGTGTGCGTGGTTACTTACCTGGCCCAGGTGCGGGCTGCGGATCCGTGCTCGCTGCACGGCCTCCTGCCGGACTATCTCGGCCTGCAGGCTCTGGCCGGGAACGCGGAGGAGCTGGGCCAGCGCTGCCTCGACTTGGCCCTGTGGCTGTGGCCTCTGTGGTGGCTGGGGCAGGTGTGGACCTGCCTGCACATCTGGCAGCCGCACAACGACAAGAACGCCCAGACCGAGAAGCTATTTGTGTGCCCCTGGTACTGCGGCCTGCTGGTGGACCAGTGCTCGATGATGAACCGCCGGATTGTGGACTGGAGCGAGGAGTATCTGGCCATCAAGGTGAGTGGGGTAACTGGGAAGTGAGAAAACTGGCTCCCGGCTCCGGTCGCCTTAATTGTGTGCGGAAAATCAGATTGCGCCGGAGGAGCCAAGTTCATGTTAATGAATTATTGTAATCAGGCGCCTGCCTGGCATCAATCATCGCACCAAGTTCGCAGCTCGCTTCCACCCACATCCATCTATTCCGGGCGACTTTTCGACCTATGCCGGCGGAGGAGTGGGAGTGGGAGTGGGGGCAAGTGGAGAGTCCTTGCTGGCACTACTGATGTGCGCTTCAAATGTCAGGCAATGTAATTAAGTTAAATGACGGGGAAACTGCAAAGTTCAGGAAATGTTTGCGTTTCCCCCGCATTGCGGGGGATCGGGAATGGCCGGGATGAGAGGCTGTTCGCTCGTCGCTTTTCGGTGGGTGTAAACTTAATTAAAAGTGCTTCAGAGCTCCACTCGCATGTTTTCGGAGGGCCTACCCGGCATAAAGACATTAAAGTAATTAAAATCAGGGCATATGAGTTGATTTTAAGGGCATAAATTAGAGGCCCGGCGAATTATGTGCATTCGTAATGCCGTCGCGTCATTAGGTAGCGTGAACAAGTTAAGCTACCCGTAATGAGATAACCCGAAAAGGGCTACATTTAGGTCAGAGTGTGGTCTCAAATATTTACCCCAAAGAAGGGAAAAAGCTTTTCATTATTCAGGAACTCACGCCTTGTTTTTCAATAGAATTTAAAAGCTCTTTAAGATATAGCAAGAAATGCATATTTAACCTATTTTAAGGACCCCACCTTCTTATAGATTTAACGATTGATAAACCGCAAAAATAGGTAGAGAAAAATGCAACAATTTTCCCCCACTTGATGAACCGCAAATACCGCATTCGATTTGTTGAAATCCGCACCGCAATCATTCGGAGCTTGAACTAAACCCAGCTATGTATTTCCAGAGCGACTTAACCGCGCCACGGGATCCGGTGGTGGCACTGGCTGCCGACATCAATGCCAGCCGGGACATCCTGGAGGAGGACAAGGTGCCGCAGCTGATTGTCTGCGCCACCATGTGGCACGAGACCGAGGACGAGATGATGGAGTTCCTCAAGTCAATTGTGCGCCTGGACGAGGATCAATGCGCCCGTCGCATGGCAAAGACGCACCTAAATGGCGGGAAGGCGGACGACGAGTACTATGAATTGGAAAGTATGTAAATGTGCCAAGATATTCCCAGGCAGATGCAGATGCAGATGCGGCTGCAGCAGCAGCAGCAGCAGCTGGAGATGCAGATACAGATACAGCTGCTGTCGTCCGCAGTCCTCCTGCATTTGCATTGCGCATTTAAAATGTGTCAAAGTGGAAATTTATGCGAGCTCGGGATGCTGTTCGCAGCTCTCTATTTATAACATTTGGCGACTTCATTTCCGCGCTTGCCAAAATGGCACCAAGCCAACCAACCGGCCAAGTCGGCACTTGCCGGCGACAACTTTACGATCCCACTAATACGGGTTCAGGTTCCTACACAGCGAATGAAAATGATCGCCAAGGCTGCCAAACAATTCCATATTCTTGATTTTATTTCTGGAAAACAAAGTAGAATATTGCTAGAATATTATTGTCCTTCCAAAAATATAAACTACATTTTGTGATTCAGTAATTTCATTCTTTATTATTAAAATCTTCGAAATACCTCTTAAACTATGATATAAATTGTGACACGATAGCATCTTACCTTACAGACTTTATTCAAAACTTATTAATATTCATTCTCTTCGATTTCCATAAACCTTACGTATATTTAAATTAATTCCTATATCAGCTGATCTAAACTATTAGGATTTTTGTCAATTTTTGAAAATTTTAATGATGTAACCCCTTTGCTTTTTTGCAAAAATTTTATTTTTCTGTCAAAGATGCCTAGAAAGATTCGAATGTTGATCTTGATTAAGAATTTATATGATTTGTAGGGTCGGAAATGACTCCTTCACTAAGTTCTATGTTTCTATTGAAATTATAATGCCTCGCAAAGGGTATACAAATAACTTATAGATATAATAAATCCTTATTTATGCTTTCGCAGCCAACATCTTCTTCGACGACGCCTTCGTGCTGGACCCACGACAGTGCCAGAACAAGAGGAATCCACCGGTCAACGAGTACGTAAAGACCCTCACCCGAACCATCGACAAGGCGGCCTTCGAGGTTTATGGCGTAAATATCAGGTTGAAGCCACCACTGAAGATCGAGACGCCGTACGGGGGACGCCTGGTGTGGACTCTGCCTGGACGCACCAAGATGGTGGCTCATCTGAAGAACAAGGACAAGATCCGGCATAAGAAGCGCTGGTCCCAGGTCATGTACATGTACTATCTGCTCGGATACCGGATCATGGAGACGGAGCAGCTGTCGCCGCGCCGGAAGGCGGTCATAGCTGAGAACACCTTTATCCTGGCCCTGGACGGAGACATTGACTTCCAGCCGCGGGCTGTCCAGCTGCTGATCGATCGGATGAAGGCCGTGGATGAGCTGGGCGCTGCCTGCGGAAGGATTCATCCGGTGGGCCGGGGTCCAATGGTTTGGTACCAGCGCTTCGAGTACGCCATCGGACATTGGCTGCAGAAGGCCACGGAGCACGTGATCGGCTGTGTGCTGTGCAGCCCCGGGTGCTTCAGCCTGTTCCGGGCCAGCGCTCTCATGGAGAACAGTGTGATGAAGCGCTATACCATGGTCAGCTCGGAAGCCATGAAGATGGTGCAGTACGATCAGGGCGAGGATCGTTGGCTCTGCACTCTGATCCTGAAGGCCGGCTCCCGGGTGGAGTACTGTGCCGCCTCCGATGCCTACACGCATGCGCCAGAGAGTTTCAATGAGTTCTATAATCAGCGTCGTCGCTGGGTGCCCTCCACCATTGCCAATATCTTCGATATCCTGGCCGACGCGGATACGGTGGTCAAGAAGAACAATTCCATATCGACCATGTATATTTGGTACCAGGGCATGCTCATGATCGGCACTGTGCTTGGTCCCGGCACTATCTTCCTTATGATGGTCGGCGCTCTGGTGGCTGTGTTTACTATCGACATTTGGACAGCCTTCTTGTGGAACTTCTTCCCCATTCTATTCTTCATTCTGGCGTGTGTCTACCTGAAGCAGAAGCTTCAGTTGCTCATTGCCTTCGTGGTGAGCTCGCTATACTGCCTGGTCATGATGGCCGTGCTCGTCGGTATCACCGTGCAGATACTGGAGGACGGACCGCTGGCTCCTGCCTCGCTTTTCTTCCTCCTTGTGGCGGTTCAGATCACAATAGCGGGTGAGTATTGGGTTATGACATGGTAGCTCCTTCTTGAAGCTAAATTTCCATTCCATTTCCTTGCAGGCTTCATGCACCCGCAGGAATTCTGGGCACTGCTGTGCGGCGTCATCTACTACATTACCATACCTTCGATGTACATGCTGCTCATGATCTTCTCGGTTTTTAATATGAACGATGTCTCCTGGGGTACTCGGGAAGCACCCGTGCTCAAGGACGACGGCAAGGATGAGCCTGGGAATGAGGAGCACCATCTACCCGGTTGGCTGAACGATCCACTGTTGATCGACTCGGAGCTGGGAGAAATCCCGCTAGCGGAGCAACGCTTCTGGAAGGACATGATCAAGCAGTACCTGAAGCCTCTGGAGCTGAGTCGTGAACAGAAGCAGGCAATGGCCGACGGACTGAAGGAGTTGCGCAACATGATAGCCTTTGCCTTTGTGATGGTGAACGCCATCTTTGTGCTGATTGTATTCCTGCTCCAGTTGAAAAAGGAGTTTTTGCATCTAAAGTGGCCCATCGATCCCACGGACTTTGTGTCCTTTGACAGGGACAACTTGACCGTGGGTATATACCGGCAGTACAAGGAGCTGGACCCCATCGGCCTGTGCTTCGTGATCTTCTTCGGTCTGATCCTGATTATTCAGTTTATTGCAATGTTTTTCCACCGCTTTGCCACCATGTGTCAGCTACTGGCCACCACGCGGGTGGACTGGTTCCGCTCCGGGGGTCAGTTCACCGACGAGGACGCAGCCCATGAGCTGAAGGGCAGCGCGGTGAATATCGCCAGGAAGCTGCAACGCCCAAAGAGACTGTTCGACGAGGACGAGGAGGAGCACCACTATGATGAGCTGATGCTGGAGGCCTCGAGATCTGGCTCCGGAGAGCATCGCGAGAGCATGGTGCGTCGCCAGACGATCTTCCGGCTGCATGAGAACAGAAATAAGCAGCACAGCGACTACAGCAACTTGGTGTTCAACTTTGAGAGGCGATTTTTTGGCGATGACGACCTCAACCTCAAGAATCTGGCCCTAAATCGCAAGTCCGTGAAGCTATTCCAAAAGCGCCGTTCCGAGGCCAAGGTCAATGCTGCCACCACGCCCGGCGGTACGCCCACTCCCAAGGCTGGCAAGCGACCTCCGCTGGTTCCCAAGAAGGTCAGCTTCAATACCTTGAATAGAAACAGCATGCAGATCTATGACAATGGTGGCTACGAGCACACAGAGTTCTAAAACTGATTTAGAGCTTCCTCCAAGTATTACCCAGAGAATCTTCTAAACTTTAATATAATCCTTATTTGGTGATTAATGGATATATATATTATAATTTTACATATTTAACCCTTTTTAATGGGTAATTAACTCCCATGCTCAAAGTAAACGATGACACGTTATACCTTAATTACTTCTTTAAAATATCTAGAGCCCTTCGGATCTACCCATTATGTATCCACAATAACTTTATGCGTTTTTATAATCGAATCCCCCAGGGCCTTGTCTTGGTGGCATAAAAAATATAATTAATTGCATTTAACTCAAGTGGCAAAGGCAGCCAAGTTTACTTCCCTTCTAACTGAAGACATCTCATTAGCATAATTACCAGATGCAGTGTGGGTGGCGGTAAGTAGTGGGTGGTAGTGGGAGTGGGAGTTGGGTGCTAGATACTTCATTCATCAATGTCGGGGCAGCGCTTAGAGTTAAGTGCTGCTGCTCGTGGTAGCGATGCGCTTTTTGCTCGCCCAGGTCTCCTGCTCCTGCTCCTGCTCCTGCTCCTGCTCTTCGTTTCAAAATGCAAATCAAAGTGTGATTAGCTTGGATTTGATGAAGTTTCTGCAGCAATGCACAAGTTTCCTTTGCCACGCCCATGCCTGCCTCCTGCTTCCCCCCTTCGTGGGCGTGGCAAGGTGTCGGCGTAAGTGTTTTGTAAGTGAATTTTTCACCGACCGGGCAAAAAGCGAGCCGAGTGACAGGCAAGGACGGGGCAGGACTTACTTTGGCAGCGTGCATACATTAAGGGGGAGCCAGAGTAGAAGCTAGGACGAACTTCTGGCCGCAGGATGTGGATTGTCTTTGGTTTGCAAAGTGCCGAAGCGACGGATTAAAAGGGACGAATGTAAGAACACGACTAAGTAATGAATTCACCTGCTCAAAGAGAAGGCCAAGGAAAGTCGTATCGATTCAAGGGGACCCCAGTCGAGGACAGCTCAGTCCTATCCAAGAGTTATGACACTTACTTTGCCGTTACCAAATCCTGTCCAATCGGAATTCCGATATCAATTAATTGGCAAAACCCTTTTGATGCCCCAACCCGTAATGCAGTCAGCCAGAAGAAACAATAACAAAAACTGAGAGATATATATAAGTACATATATTTTCCAGCACAAAATGCAAACAATTTCAGACTTGAATGGGTTTTTGCCTTTGTGCAAGGAACAGTTCGAGTTCCAGTTCGAGGGAAAAGCTATGGAAAACAAAGGCAGCAGGGGAAAGAATTTATAACGATTTTCAATTGCTAGCAAGAAACCCTGTAAACTACAGTTTGCTGGCCGGGTTACTTGACAACTATTTGTGCCACTGACGGCCCGCACGGCGTATGCGTATTTTGCGAACTTACCACTTGCAACCTGCTGGTCACTGGTGTGTTCCAATTCGAACAAAACAAAGCACCGCGGAAACCGGGAATTCGGAAAACTGGAAAAAGCCAGCAATAAACAAGAGCGCAATTCGATTGAAAAACTTGTGCCAGTTTTTTGGCACATAATTTTGCACTTATCTGACCCCGGACAGCCCCGCCCAGAGACCCACTAAAACCAAACCAAACCAAACCAGACCAGGCCAGGACAGGACAGACTGTGCCAGACCCCGCCTCTCCCGGGGCCTGTTGCCATTTGGTATTGTATTTTATGGCTTTTCTATGCATTGCAATGGCAATCGAGGACAATGCCCAGGATGAGACCCGGACAGGATGAGCGGCAAGGTGGGGATTGTTGTGGCAACAGCGCCACAAAAGCTGCAACAGAACTTTCTAATGTCATTTAATTATGAAAATAATTCAATGTCCGGGATGCACTGAAGCATTTTTGGGCTAAAAGTTTCCACTCTACAGGTCATCCGGCAGTCGTTGCCGCGACTCCTGTTGCTACCGCTGCTGCTGCTGGTGCTTTGTGAAAGTAATTAAATGAGAGGCTGCAGGATATTTGAGAGCACAATATGCACTGATTATGCGCACTTTGGGAGGGGGCCTGAGGGGGCAGGGATTCCACCTCCATTGAAATAAACAAGTTGGCATTTTCAGCAGTTAATTAATATTTGCAACTGCATGTTGTTTATGAGTATTTTTTCAATGCTTCAACGACGGCTGAGTGCCAATGATATTTGATGGGTAATTCACTGTGCAAAATATTGAATTGTGCTTGGGTTCGAGTGTTCAGTGGAGGGCCATCAGTGTTTGATTGCATCATTAAGGGGCTGCACAGTGCTGATATCCATAAATATTGGTTTCAATTGAACTATATTTAAGGTAAACCTTATTATTCGTATGCATTCGTATATGAATATTTATTAATAAACTCGTTAATTTCTTTATTATTATTGAAGATACCCTGTAATTGGTCGCTACCCCTGGTCGAGTGATCCGGCGGCCTAGCAAACACCGAAATAGAGAGCCAGATAAGCACTTCTTTCCGTCGCTTGCCCCACTTGATAAGGCACCGCTCCCGCCTCCGAGCCTCCATTGCTCCCTACTCACGCCGGTCAAATGTTTGGCGCAATCTCAGTTGCACAGCGCCTACAAGCTGCCCGGATTGATAAGGCTTTCGGAGAGAGAGTCGAATTATAATCGCAATCGCAATGAGCACTTACAATTACACATGTTATCATGTCGACCAGCGACTATAGACCAGAGACCACCGACCAGTGGCAGTCCGCTGTTTCGCCTCAGTATAACTTGTCGGGCTTCGCGGTGCGGTTCCCTTCGAGTTCCGTGATTCGCAGTTCATCCGTAGTCACCTATTCCCTCCGTGTTAAAATCCGATCCGATCCTTAAGCGAGATGCTGCGCAACAGTCTCCATTTGGCGCAGAGCCTGCGCACCGGCTTCTCGAGCAATGCCTGGCGAGCGGTCAGCTCCCACGGTCCCCGGCAGCCAGTGAGTGTTCCGTCGGGGCTTATATAATCGGTTAATGAGTGATGTGTTGGAGGGTATTTTAAACGACCGTCTGGACCTAGCATAACGTCTAATACATCGCCATTAGTGGAAAAATTCTTGAATGCAAAGTCCGCTTTGGCGGAGCGCCAGTGCAAACGGACCTTTGCTTCGGTGAACAAACGTTATCAGTTCTTTGTGTTCAGGTCAGGAGAATCAATTGAGCAGTGATTGAACTGGTTTCAAACTGGTTCAGAGTGGAGAGACTATAATGTAGGAGGTCCTAGATATCTAGATATATCGTATGTGAAGAGAAAATATATATTTTAATGGGATATAAGGCTTTGTGGATTCTTTTTTCAGTGCACAAAAGAGTCTTCTTATAGAGTACATCTTTGTCATTAGGCATATGTAAATACTTATTTACTTCTACAACTATATTTTAACATATTCACAAAGAAAAATATATATTCAAAGTGCTATTAAAAAATCGACAGTCTTTTGACCGATAAGCGGCGATTAATGCTGATTTCAGCGAAGGGGAAAATTATAGCACTTATGAGGTGCCATGACGTCGAGGCGTGAAGAGCTATTGTCTGGGGGTTTCTGGGTCCCCTGACATCGTGACATGCTGATACCAAGGTCCAGAGACCGATGAGCCACCATCGGGAGGGGTCCTTTAGTGTCTAGTGTTTTGTTTTGATTACGCAACCTTATCGAACAACAACTGCCGATGTAGCTTGAAACTTTTCCCCTAACCCTTGGGCCTAATCAGAGGCAATCGAAGCAGCCAAAACACTATCGTTTGGTATCGTTAGTACGGCCCCGCATAAAGATTTCCATTTATTTTCTTTATGGACGGAAAAGGGTTTCGGTTCTAGGCAACAGTCGGCCATAAACGGGGCCAAATGGGCCATCAAAAACGGGCTCCGGCTAATTGAATCGGCATCGATCGAAGGACTCAACTCTCGGCCGGGGCTGTAAATCATTTACAGTCTGGGTTTGATTTCCACTAACATGCAAACGTTCCACCCCTGCCCGGCCTGGGCCGACAAGCTGATAAAATGTTGTCACAGCATGACGGCTGCCTGCAGGACTTCTGGGTCAGGCAAGTGCAGGAACGTGTTCAAATAAATTCTAAAAGTGTAAATATTGTATTTCCCCGACAAAGCGATGGGGAGAAAGAGATGGAATTACAATAAACTTAAAACCCCTTTAAATATGCAGCAACATTTGTGGGGCCTCGGACAAGGACTCCGTTCTTCGTTCGCTGCCCCTCTCGCATTTGCATATGTCCGACATCGGGCCCAGCCTTTGACACTCAAAACGATTTGCCTAGGTCAGGGTCGTTGGGATGCCCTTCAAACCATTACCCCAGGCAGGCAGGCCTGCCCTGCCATGCCACCCCTTTTCCCACGCGGCGCCATCGCCCATCGACTCACTTCATTTTGACACGTGTTGGCAGTTATGGCGCCTTCGGTCTCGGTCCCGACGCTCGACTCTCTCGAGCTGTGCGTGTGCGAGGCACATCATAAAAAATACAAAAAAAAAAAACAACAAAACAAGTGCCAGTGACACAGTTGTCAGTCCCGACTAGAAGATACCTGGCAGTCTAGAAGGGAGTGTGTTTATTAGCTTCTATCTTCTATACATATATATAACATCTAGCTCATACAGAAGTTCTAAAAAAAAAGTTTATATATCTAAGGTACTCTAATAAAGCTCTGACTCCTTCATTAAGTTTCAAGCTTCTGACTTAAATTATATGCAGCAAAACGGTATAAAAACCGACAATTTTTGTGAAAAATCAAAGTTTTACGGACATCATATTAACGCCAAAATTGCATTAATTTTAATTCGGAATGCTTTTCTACGCTACTTTTTAATGCACTAACAAATCTGCAGTTTTTGACTAAAATTATAAAAACCCGCAAAAAGGTATAAAAACGGACAATTTTTCCGAAAATCATAGTTTTAAAAACTCATAACTAAGACAAAAAATCATTAGTTTCAATTCGGAAAGCTGTTCTATGCTAATTTTTAATAGGTTAAGAAATCTGCATACTCAGTTTTCAAATTTAAAAAAATCAATTTATTGTCAAATTTTGACAATTTTAATGATGTAACCCCTTATGAAATTTTCAATTTTCGGAAAAATCTTAAAAATTTATTTTTTGACCGGACATGGCTAGATCGATTCAGCTTTTGATGCTGATCAAGAATATATATGGTTTATAGGGTCGGAAATGACTCCTTCATTAAGTTTTAAGCTTCTGACTTAAATTATATCCAGCTAAAAGGTATAAAAACAGACCATTTTTGTTAAAAATCAAAGATTT